TAACTGCAGCACCCCGGTGCCTCTGGGAGCATCAGCCTGGTACCTCCAGCACCTCTATGCCTCTTGTCAAAGTTTGCGCTCAGTAAAGGAAGGGATTTTCTCCTTGCCAGAGTCAGCATGGAGCTGGCACCATGTGCACAGGTTGCCATTGCCGAGGCACCTGCAGCAAGGTGTGTGTGCTCACAGCGAGTGCTCGAGGCCACTGTGTACCCTGAGGCAGAAACGGGGACTTTGGGGCCAAGGATATTTCTAAACCAGAGACACTTGCACAAAGCTTGCGCTCCAGCTGGGTTTCCCTGTTCACCAGGGCCGGCATGTGCTGCCTCTGGGGCTGGAGACCAGCCACATGCTGCGAACCTCGTCCGTCTGAGCCCAGCCTTGCTGCAGGGCATCTTGCCCCCTGGCCCAGCCCACCTCCTGCCAAACCAGCCAACTGGGAGAAGATGCTGCCGTGGGGGAGTTCAGCACCCAGCACCAGTCCCGGCCCCTGGTGCGCGGGTAACCACCCGCCAGCACGGTTGCTCCCGCTCTGGGAACAGGCAGAGCGGCTGCTGAATCATCTGGCTGGTATTTAGGTCCTGACAGCTGTTCCGGGGCCGTGCCGCTGCGCCCAAACCCCCTGACCCCGCCAGACACCTTCACCTGGGCTGCCTGCGGAACAGTGCCAGATCCAGCCGCAGCAGCTCCCTCCCTCCTCATGCCCCTGGCGCAAGCCAGGCTCTCCTGAGACCCAAGACATGGAAACCCACCACCTTGGATGAGCCCTTTGACTTTGTACAGACCTGGCACGAAGCAGCCCAGTGATCCAAAAACTGAAGGGACGAGGTAGCCGTGCCCACAGGAAAGCCGGGGGGACCTCAGCATCTGCTGCCAGGTTTCAGTCAGCCGAGCACAGGCAGCCGCGGGGAACGCTGAGGCTTTTGCTGCTGAAACAATCCTGCTGCTGCACCAGCTTGGGCCGTGTTGGGTCCCCACCCTCCCTTTGGGGCCACTCAAGGTCTTTGCGTGGGGGAAACCAGGACAGGAGGGAGCAGCTCCAAAGGGCTCAGAGGGGATCGGGAACCAGTGGCTTTATCTTCTTCCCCAAAGTGGGGTCTGCAAGAGAGCAACCAGTGACGGCAGAAAGGCCAAAGCTTTTTCATTCCTGGCTGTTCCCACAATGTACCCCGGGTACCTCACGAAGCAGAGGTGCAGTTCGCTGAGGTGTGACCCGAGGGCACCAGGCAGGGTGAGCTGGAGCCTTCCCATCACACAAACTCATTTTTGGGGGGCACAGCCATCCCCTGCAGCACTCAATTGATCCAGCTGCACTATGGGACTCAGCTCAGGAGCCCTCCAACTTTGAAGGGCTTCACTTCACGCCAGGCACCAGCTGGTAGAGCCGCAGCCAGCGCACGGGGAGCAGACAACGCTCAAAATACCTGCAGGCTCTGGTGTGGGCACGGTTCCAGGTGAGCTGAGTAAGCAGGAACCTCAGGACACAGCTGTTCACCGGCCGAAAACAAATCGAGAAAAAACCTGGCAGCCTGTGACCCCCCTGCCCCGGCACAGAGACTGCAGCGCTTGCACCACTGCCGCGACGGCCCCCGGTGTGGGCATCAGCCCCATCTGATAAAAACAGATCGGTGCTGGGAAGGATGGGGGGGAGAACCTGCTCTGACGAAGAAAGGCGACTCATCTCGTCCTTCCCAGGCTGCCTGCTGTGGGATGCTGCAGGGATTGCCTCCAGCCAGGGGGCTGCCAGCCTGCACCCCTCCCTGCCTGGCCTGGCCCAGGCTTTTCCTGTATGAACAAAAAGAAGGAAAAAAAAAAAACCCAGAAAAAAGGGAAAAACCTCCCAGGGATGCATTGCACAGGGATGGTGGGCAGGGGCCAGGAGGCGACAGGCTTCAGGGAGAGGCCAGGGGAGTTTATTCACCAAAGCAGGACCGTGCCCCGGCTCCTGGCCAAGCGCTGCAGGGAATGGGTCACAGCAGGACATCCCTGGCCGGGGCACACGGGAGAGCAGAGGATATCTGGCTGTGGGAGCTGGCTCACACAGGGCAGGAAGCGAGCATGTCGCCGGCTCTCGTCGCTGACGCATGTCCCCGAGCAGCAAGGGGCACCCAGGGAGCCCAACGCTCCCATGGCTGGGCAGCACAGCCTCAACGCCTTCTGCGGAGCCTGCTGATTTTGCTTTTGTCTTGGAGGCTCAACTCTGGTTTCCTGCCCCAGGATGTTTTCGATGACTGTGTGTAACGCAGAAGCTTAACTGCACCATGGCTTTCCTTAGCCTCCGGTTAGGCAGGTTCGAGCTCTGAGAGCAGGCTGCCAGCAAGCACCAAGACACACCATTCCCTCCTCCTCCATCTTCAGCCAACACATGTCCACTGGGCTGTACAAACACGCGACAACATGCTGCAGGAAAATCCTACGGACATCCCCAGAGGGGGAGTTTGCATTGTTGAAGCCAAAGAGTCCCTTGGGAACACAGAGGCGATGCTGCGGTACCCGCTGGTCTCAGGGACCCCCTCACTGAACCACCACACAGTGCTGCAGTGCCTGTCCCCAGGTGACACACCCCAACCCCACCAGGACGCCCAGCGGGTCCTTGCCCTTGGGGCCAATTCCAGCAGCAGCAAACATGCCCTATAAGCAGCACTGCACTGCCATGGACTCCAGACTTTAAGTGTTATCGGCATCGACACTTAAGCACGTTGTGAAGAAAACCATCGAGCACCGCATTGACACACTAGCACAGAGCAACTGAGAACAAACTATTTGCAACTCAGTTTTGAAACGATGTATTCACGACTCCCATAAAACACTGGTCCCTTATAGTTGGAAATAGGCATTTTTTGGTGCTCTGGTGTTGCAGATGTACACCTGCCCCCATCGTCACATCTCCAGCATTTTACACCCACGGACTGCATTTGGAGAAGGGCTCTGTTTGGGCCACGCTGGCTTTCTACAAAGGAATAGATGTGAGGGTCAAGCACCTTTCTAAAGCTCCAAAGCTGGAGCTTTGGGAGTCCTCTGCATGCCCATGTTTTTTCCCCCCGAAGAGGCACCAGCCATGATGCCTCCAAGGAGCTCACCTGCCCAGTGTCCCACCCTGCACCACTCCTCCTCCCCACACCAGCTGCCCTTGGTCCAGGTCTGAAAGCCTGAAGCACCAAGAGCCACACCGATAGTTCTACCCCTCCTGAGGCACATGTGAGCTTAAGAGACACAGCTTGTGCCCAGTTTTCTTTATGGTCTTTAAAAGCCTGAAAAACCTCCAGGAGTCATAGAACAGGCACACCACTGCTTCTTCCCTGACTTTTTAAGATTAGAAACATCAGCTCGGCTTACTGACACTCACCTCTATGTCCAGAGAAGAAGTGGAGTGTTCCCTTGCCCTTAGTGGCATGGCAGGAAAGCAAACAGATTTTTGCCTTATGCCAACAGAAACGTTGGCAGAGGATCCTCCCACTGGCAGGGGGCCACCCCCAGGATTTACAGCAATGAAACCCCACTCTGTAAGGACTGAGGTGCTTTTTTAGATTCCTCTGTGGTGCAAGGAACAAAGCCAGGTGCCAATATGTACAGAATTCCTAGGGCTGGCACTGGGGATCTTTAATTCTCTTCCCAAAAGACAAAGTGGTTGGTGAACACCGTTGGAAGCAACCAGTCTCCAGGCAGCCTCGATGCCCAGTGAGCCAGCCCGGCTCAGGGGCACACATGGTCCCTCTGTTACCACTCACACTCCAGGCATCCTGGCATAAGGTCTCCTGAATCCAAATTGAAGTCTTTCATTCTTAGGAGCACCCTAAGACACAAACTGAAGAGCCGTCTTCATCAGCTGTTCTGATGGAAGTGAAAGGCTGTGAGGGGTAAAGGAGTGAGATTTTCCTAAACCTTCTAAGTTAAAAGCACTCTCCTCAAACGTGTGGGTGAAATACTGAAAGAAGCACCATTTGTCTTGCTGTCATCTGTATCCAGCATAGTGCCACATACCTCCAGTTAAAAAAACAAAACCAATCCATAAACTAAAACCAAATCTTGTTCTTAACTCACAAAATGATACACATACACATGGGCAAGTTATCAGAAAAGGCATTATATTTTGGTTTCCACCTTATTTAAAACTAATTTTGGTTTTCAATCAATCAAAATTGAATATGTCTGAGTTCAGTTTTCAATTCTTTTTTTTTCCCCATAACAGTAATGATCTGGATGACCATAATTATAAAAGGGACAAGGATAAAACCCGAGAACAAGACAAATAATCTGAACTGTGCTCTCTTCCACATGAGCACTGCAGGGAATGTTAGTTTCAGCTCTTCGTTTTTTTTTGTTGTGGGTTGTTTTTTTTTTCCTTCGGGTTGTTACTAACAAAATCTCTACCGTTTATTAAAGCAAAGCTACAGTAAATTTTCTTGCAGTCTTACAGCAGGTTTTCATATTACCAGTAGGACTCGCATGCATGGATTGCAGTCACACACACACACGCTCACAGACATTATACAGTAGCCAGTTGCCACCATAAAAAAAAAAAAAAAAAAGAAAAAGAAAACAGACATTCATTTCTTTTAAGTGGTCAACATTAGAATCTCACCAAAATTTTGGATCCAAAAAAAAAAAAAATACTGCACAGGTCTTCCACATCTACATGGTAAGTCATCCCTTCGCAATGGACGGAGCTCTCGTCTCCATTTGTTCAACATGCATCACTGAAGCTTGAAGGCACGCTGGCCAAAGAGAGCCCTGTTCTTTTTTTGTCATCTTAACTCAAGTGTGCTGCTCTCAGGGTGCAAAAAAAGGGGGAAAACAATAAAGCCAAGCCCTTTTGCAGCACACTGGGAAAAGGTCATTCGGAGACCACAGTACTTGGAAGGCAGCCCAGCTGCCTGGATTCTACTTCTAACTGTGCTCTTGGAGGCATTGAAGGAATACACTCATCTTTAAAAATGACATATAAAGGCAAATTTCTGCAAACCCTTTCTTTTCAAACTGCTTACGGTAGACTAACACTCCTTCTGGAAGAAAGTGGTCCTTCAGTCACCAGCTTCAAGTGGGAAATTTCCTACCCGCTGTCTTAAACACTGAAGCACCAGAGATTATACAGCTGATGTGTTCAGGCATTCATCAGCTTTAGGAAAACTTAACACACACAAAGAAAAAAAAAAAAAGGCAAAAATGTAAAGAAATCCCCAATGCCTCAAGAGCACTATATCAAACCCGAACTCTTGGGCTACTGACTGCCGGCACTGTCAGAAGCTGCTTGCTTCTGGGAAGACACCTGGAGGTTGAAGCTTTACAGTGATTTCGTATCCTCCCAGGGTGAGATTTGCTGAGCTTTACTGATTGCAAGATAAAGCAGTGTTTTGGAAAAATAAAACCAACAAACTCGTAATAACCATCACCAAAATCACCATTGAGAAAGTTCCATTTGTTAGACGGTCTCAGTGAGAAACATCAGTCCCTGCCCCGTGAAGCAGGATGGACATGATTAACAAAACCCAGAACAACCTGTCCCCACAAGCCGGGCCTTCAGGGTCTAGTCCCCAAATTATACTGGAGGGGAAGAAAGAAAAATAAACAAAAAAAAAAGGTTGTATCACCTTTCCTCCTGTTAAAGTTTTAATCCTCTTATTCCACTTTCATTTCTTTGTTATTTTCCCCTGATTCTCCCTTCTGCTTTGCCACCTTAGCTGGGGGAGTTATTGGTACGAGAGTTTGGAGAGTCCTGCTCATTTATTGTGTTCAAGAGCACACACACCGGCTGCCGGGGCAGGTGGTGGTGGCTGTGTTCAGGGTGCTGCTCTTCCATGGCATTAAAAAGCCCTTCCTCCTCGTCCCTGTGGGGGTGGCCACTGCAGCTGTCGCAGAAGTCCAGAGGCCCGTCCAGAGCATCATCAATGAGCCCGTCGAACTCCTTGAGGTCATCGTCATGATGGCCCCGGTTGCATACGCAGACTTCGATGCCCGAGTCACCGGTGAAACGGCGTTGCCTGCCCGGCGTCTTGTCCTTCACGTCGGGAATGGCGCTGCTCTGCTCTAAGCTCTCAGAGCTGTAACCTTTTAGCAGTTCCTCCTTGCACTCCGTATCCTTATCGGGACCGGCCCTCCTTTCCACTAGCTCAGCTCCTGTGCTGGTACCGCCGGGCTCGACGCTTTGCATTTTGGCAACGGCTCGCTCGACCAGTGTGGTGGTGGAGGGCTCAGGGTCCCCAAGGCCGGGGGACCCGGCGCTGTCAGTACTGCTGGTATTGCCACTGGGTGCTGCCGAGCTGCTCTGCGCTGGCTGCATGTTTCTTGGTGTGTCTGGGATTGTGCTACTGCTGCCTGCTGGGACGCACTGCTGATGTAAGGCACTATATGGCGGTGGGGGGGTCGGCGGTCGATTCACCACTTCCTCATAGGGAGGTAGTAAATAATTTGGCAAAAACCCTGAAAGTGGGAGGCAAGGAGGAGAAGTTATTTCATGAACAGCTTACCTCAGGAAATGAGTCGCTAACACAGGTCGGTATGTCATTTGTCATGTACCAGCACCTTCCCACTGAACAGCTCAACAGGTTTTAGAAGGGGTGCCAAAACTTGGCCCAAACGAGACACGTCGTGCTTTAGAGAAGCAGCAATCGTGGCACAGGAGGGCACCATCGCAGTAGGCGACGGACCCAGCTGGGCACAGCAGCCTGATCTCCCTGCTCTCAAGTCTATGCTTAGGGCTACCAGGCGAACCCCCCACCACCACCCTGTACCCTAATACAGCCCCACAAGCCACACCAAGGGATGGCCTGTGTTGGCTGGAGGGAACAGCCTGGGAGATAACTCGCCAGCCCTCTCCAACACTGGCTTCTCAGCCGAGTTTCCACTTTGAAGAGGAAAGATCTCTTCTCACAAAGCTTTGTGCAAACAGGAAGAGACATGAGCAGTTACAAGGAACTTGGGATCCTGGCTTTTAGTTGTTGTTTTAGTGAAACTGGCTGGATTCAGTTTTTCTGGTGCAGTCAGAATAAATGGGCAGTACTGGCAAGAGGGTTTGGTTCATCGTATTTACACCCCCTGAAATCTACGAAAGATTTCGTTTATTTCTTCAGAGGCAACAAAATAGTCTATATAGACAGAAGGGATGTAAATAACGGAAGCATTTAAAGACAGCCCAGCAGTTTTCCAAGTGCAATTGCGTATCCCTGGGGCTGGGGATTATTTCTGAGGTGGCTGCAAAAGTTTAACAAGAACAGCAAGTTCATACATGTAATTCAACAGTCCATTACAGGAGATTCAGTTGTGGCACCTCCAATCAAAAGGCTGTGACTTGCTGTTCTAGCACAGTGTAGCAGGGCACGAAGGAGAGAACAAAGTGATTATACTTTCCCGGAGCTGTGGGCAACAGCTCCTCTGTGCAAACTCCTAGTGCTGCTCACCAGCAGCGTCATCTGGGAACCGCAGTACAGGGGGAGAGCCAGCATGGTCCCTGCCGAGGCACCACTTCCACCCAGCCTGTGTGACCGAATTTCGTGAAGCCACTTCCCACATCTCAGTCCCACCAGCAGCAAGCGCAGGCTGGAAAGGAGGAGCATCCATAAAGTCCTGAACGAGATATTTTAAGAACCTTCTCAGAAAAACACCCAGAGAATCACTGCACCCTCAGAGCCAAATCAAGGGTGGGTGTGAAGGTGCTGTAGCTGGTGTGGTTCAACTCCAGATTCAAAGAGGCTCAAATGCACCCGAGCAGCTGGAACATGTCAGCTCCTCTCTACAAGTCAAGGTTAGGCAGCAGAGCTGCCCAGTGGCTCTTGCCGAGCCCAACCACTGCTCCCCACTTCCACCCAACACAGGAAACTCACTGTTGCCCCGCTCCCCAAGACCTCCAGGAAAAATGGCGTGAGGTACATACGGAAATAAAACGGCAGGGCTGAATAGTTATGGGCTTCCCGGTAAGCGATCAGGTTGATCTCGTGTTGCCGCTGCTGGGCCTGGAGACGATGTTTGGTGCGTCGGTGATGGCAAACACAACAGCAGCTGAGGATGATGATGATGGTCCACACCAGCCAAAACCCTGCAGTGGGGGTGAGTAAGCATTAACCACAGAGCGAAAGCCACATCTGACCCCAGGAAACCCACAAAGGCCACGGAGAAGACGATCGGAAAGCCTGGATCTGAACCCCAAGCTGCTCTACAGGCAGAAATACGCAGTGTGCCAGGAGGCTTCGACATGGACCCGCCTGCGTGGGTGACTGCTACTCTGGGAACCTTGACAGAATCGGGTAACTCTGAACACACTTGGGTACAATGAGGAGCATGTTCAAGAGGCACGATTCTAGAGGAGAACAAACTATGGAGACAGGGCTAAGCTCCCTCTCACCATCCTTCCCATCCCTTGGATATAATTTCTAGCCAAAAACACGAGCAGAGCTGTGAATAGCATTGAACTTGTCTCCCACAGCCACTTTGGTTTGAAAATACCAATCAAGACACAAAAGACACTCTGAAGATTGACCACAGAAGAAGAGAAAAACCCCAAGCACTATGTTTTGCTTTTGTTTGCACTGTTGTTTAATTTCCAGCCCAAATCCTTCATTGTTATACTTAACAAAAACATACTCTTTTTACATAAATGTCTCAAAATGTTTTTATAACTTATTTTTGTATTCAATGTCTTAAATTATTCAAAATGAAATTAAACTAGCTCCAACTCTGAATCCTCAAGAAACCTAACTTCTGCTCTGTTTGTGGTCAGGGCTGGTTTCTGTGCACTGTCATGCTGTACGTACATTGTTCCTTAAAAAGGAACTTGAAAACAGCACTTCCTGAATTTTCTCCACTCCCTCCAACATGTGGAATAACTCCCCTTTCCGCAAATCCACCTTCACGCTTGCATGCACTAGAAAAATGTTTCCGAGACACACTTCAAAGAGCTAGAACATTCACTCCGGATCAGGTTTGTGTCTCCTGCAACTTCAGCCCACAGCTCTACCTGCCTCAAAGGTGTCAGTAATATCTATTTTTTCTAAACTCAGTTTTTACAGCTGAGGATTCCAGGAGAGCTCCCCCTTTGGAAACATGCAGGCCTGGCAACCACTGCTCCGCAGAGATCACAACATGGGTTTTCTTTCGGTAAAACCTCTGCTACTCTTCATTATTTCCAAACAGACAAAATGAAGACTCCTAGTGCTACAGCCCATTTTCAGCACGGTCATTCTGCCCTGTGAGATCAAACTATTTTTTCCTCCCCAGTAAAAGCCTCTAGTCCTGACTTACAACACTTTGATGTTTTCAGCATCCCCTGCTGAGTTAGCGATGTTTTCTCTGCTAACAGCTGGGTGGGGAAAGGTGAACAGCTTAGGAATTTGAAGAATGAGAGCAGTATTGCTCTGGCTCAAGACAAAGTGCAATCGACCCATATCACCCATCTCAGAGCCCTGCACAGGGCTGTTTGTAGGTGAACTGGATATGCCGTATCGTGCCTCCCAGCATTTTGAGCCGGGACTTTCACCTATGTCGTAACCCAAATTCTCCATGTATTTTGGCACAACAAACTGAAATCTCCCTCTTGCCTTGCACAACCTATTTCCCTAATGGACTGGATTCTGCCTGATACCCAAACTTATCAAAGCCTGCTATCAAATAAAGGTGTTATATGCTCCATTTTTTTGCTTGGCTGGAAATCAAGTTTCCTAGGCAGTTTTTCTAGCCAGTCTGCTCAGCTGTACCATGAAGGGCAGAGAGAAAACTCTGATCTTTGCTCCAGAGAAACAAAGGACGAAGCACTCGAGATGACATCTGCACTTCCTTCGAAGTGAGCTGAGAAAGCATTCACTGCCCTCCAAACACCCTCCTGCTTCTAAAAAAGCCTTTTTATATAAACTAAAAGGATTGGTCTGCTCCACCCTTCCCTCCAAAGCCAGGCATTTGCAACCACTGTCTTGCAGTTTGAAGATTCCCACCAACACACTTTATTTTTTGCTAAGAGAAGGCCCCTTGGCTCTTGCTTGCTGAGGAAGCAAGAACAAGCTCATCAAAACCAGGTCATGGGCACAGCATGCCACCATGCACTGAAGCAGGCCTGCAGTTCATCTTCCAAGTACTCCTTATTTTCGAAGACTTTCTTTTGAACGAAGATCATGCGTTCAAAAACAATGGAAACACCCAGCTATCCAGGGATTTTAGCTACAGTCATGAAAACAGATGCTTTTTAACACATTTGATCACGTCCTTTCCCAAGGACTCTAGATGCAATGGTAGCAAGCAGCACTTAGTTAGTTAAGACGTCCTGGAGAACTGCCACCGTTAAGCAATCTCAGCTGTAGCAGCCGAATTTTTCTGCAGGGAATAACTGCTCCCACCCAAGCCTGCATTCAGAAGATTAAAAAAGTATTTCTTTAGAAAACTTCTCTACCCATTCCAAAGAAATCCCAAAGTGCCTTGCAGACAAACCGATGCACAAGCTCAGAGTGGGGGTCAAAGTAAGCTCAGCCATTCTTGGGAAGACGTGCGGCAACTTTGTAAACAGGCAGTAACAACATACAACAGTTTAGGATAATAAATTAATGCTGGATCCTACTGAAACCCCAGGTGGCATTTGAAGTAAACAGACCATAATTTACTGGATTGCAATGTGGCCACGGTGCCAGGAACACCACCTCCATTCTCATGCAAAGGGTCTATGTATGCTCGCAACCACAAGTGGATGAGATCTGTTGTTTTTCACAGGAATTTCCAGAAAAAAGAACCCACTAATACCACGTTATTGCTTGGTTTCATTAACCACTGACAATTCCTAGAGTTTCTAGGAATTACTCAACCCCGGACTCAGCATGAGCCCAAGGACTTGCCTGGGTGATCACAGGAGGTCAACAGCGTGTGCCTACCACAGCTGGCCTGGTTTCTGGCATCCTCTTCAATGGCTTTGCCCCCATCTTGTCACGCAACAGCACATCTGCACTGCAGGGCTGACAGCTCCCCCAGCGCACAGGAAGCAATAGGATGGGACACCCATAGGTGCTGGGGCACACGAGGGGCTCCTTGGATGTCGCTTGAACAAGGGTGCCAGTGCTGAGAGACAGAGTGGGTGCAGCTCTGGTTACAAGCCCAGCGCAGTGCTGGGAGTGCAGGGCCTCCATAAAAGACTCTACAAAATGCCCTAGCCAGAAGTTTGGGCACAGCTGCAATTTTGGCTGCAGAACAGAAAAACTGTAAAAGCCTAGCAAATATATAGTACAGTCATTTATTTGGAATAAAGCTATGCATACAAGGCCAAGTGCAATTGTAAATATTATGTCTAAAAGTATGGAGTGAACAGGGAAGATGTCCAGGGCTGAGCTGTGCATTTGTACACCTGGTGATGCTTGGCTTCAGACCAGCAGCAGGGAGGTAAGCTGAGCAGACCACTGGCACATACACCCAGTGGCTCATCTGGCCTGAGGGGAAGGAGGGGAATTTCAAATTCACCCAAAATCAACATTACACAAGCAGGAAACGCAGAGGCTGAGCACAGGAGTGGTACACGCTAACACCTCATTCATGGCAAAAGCAAGTACCAGTCCTGCCTCATGCTGAGAATGGGCAAGATGTGCAAAGGCAACAGAAGTCTGGCATTAAAATGCCTCTAAACACCATGTCTTCTCTGTCCCCAAAAGCATTCCCCATCCCCAAATGCCTTCCCTGTGCTCTTCAACATGTGCCTCTTTCCCAAATGGACACAAGCTGGTTTTCAGCTGCATTGTGCTGAGCTATCGCTGCAGTCACTAGAAAAGGAGAAAAGGTTGGGGGATACCAGGCATCTTGAGCCAAGGTTGCCGTTAAATGTCTGATTTGAGAGAGCATTTCCCAACCGCCAACCTGGCAGTGACCACTGGGAAACAAAAGTTCACAGAAATCTGAGGGCAACATGACAGACAGAGAGCAAACAGGGTCTTTGGAAAAACAACTGCTGATGGACAGCATTGACAGAATCGATGCACCAGTTTGGAGCTAAACATGCACAAGGGGACTATCGGACTTGAAGGCAATTTCACTCTTGCTCTTGGTTTCTGGAAGGGTTGGAAGTTGAAACGCTCTCCAGTCCACAAAAGGCTGAGTCCTGCAAAGCACTGCTATATTTTCTGTCAAATTCACCGATGATGCCAATGGGTGGATAACAATGCAACCAAAGGGTGAATCAGACACAGCCAAGGAGCTGAGTTTTGCCAAGAGATTTCCCTGCCATAGCATCACAACCTTTCATAAAAATAAAAAAGAAGTACCAACCTCTTACCCAGCATCAGACAGACTCAGAGCTGTAAGCCCCACACGAGGGCCAAGCTCCTTATGCATGGGAGCTGCATAAAGACCTGGGAACAGAATTGGCTCCCATGAAAGTCATCTCTCACAAGCAAAGGAAATACCCAAGAGAGAGAAGGCTGCTACGTTTACAGCATCCTTCGGAAAGGGAGCCCCTTCACATGGTCATGCACCAGAGATATTTCCTACCAGCTGTGAAAGAACATGTCAGACCTAAAGCTTCAAGAAAAAACCTTTCTGGGAACTGACCATAGTTTTGCCCAAACTTAAGAATAATTAAGAATGAAATAATTTAAGAATTAAGAAAGCAGAGCATTCCCTCCTCATGAAAAAGGGAGGAGCGATGTTCAGTCTGACACTGTGCTGTGTTTGCTGCCTGGGATGTTGCCACCAGCATCCCCCGTTGAGAGAAGCTCCTTTTATCTTGTGCAAAATGGAAAATGTTTTCTGGAGCTTTCAAGGGTAGGAACAGAGAAATCTGCCCTCAAGTTCACAGCAAACTTGGGCAAATGCCATCGGTCTGTTGGCAGGAAGTCCCCTAAAAGCAAGCCAAAACATACTGCAAAGTGTTTCTGTGTCTGCCTGACAAGCATCTGGGTAATAGCTTTGGCTCCATGAGAGCTGGTTCTGAACAGAAGGAGAAGTGGGACAATTTCATTGACTGAAAAGTGATGTACCAAATGGTGGCCTCACAGTCAGACATGGCTGGAAAAAAACTCGTCTTTCACAGGGCCAACACTATCAGCAAAAAATAGGAGAGAGATTTAATTGGTAGCA